AGCATCATGTTTTTACACACCTGATTTTCTGTTAGATGCCACTTGGCAGAAGGATCCACTATATTTCCCTCATACTTTGTAAAACTGACAAAAGAAAACTTCTATTACAACTTTGGTAAGTGACAAGAAATATGGGATAAGTGTGATAAAAGCAAAGAGGAGTATTTTGAGGGGGATTAATAACAGCATATCTTTTGTATTTATTAATATAAACTTGATAGAACATATGCCTTAAGTTGAAAATTAAAAGATACTTTCCTACTTTTATTATCAGTATAGTGATGAACTCCAAAACGACAGAAACAGACACATTTCAGGCCTTATATTTATGTATCATCACATTCCCCTATGATATGACTGTTTTCAAATATCTGCTACAATTTCTTTTGATTGCCTTATCATTAAATGAGTTAATTTGAATAAAATATGCATTCATAATATGACAAAATAGCACATTTTGTAAACATAAAGAGAGGTGATTACATTTTAATGCACTTTTTATTTTAGAATAGTTTTAGATTTCAATTGGGGAGGTAAATCAATGGAAGAACACTTGCCAAGCATGTGCAAGGCCCTGGGTTTGGCCCCCAGCATCACAAAAAAGGTGTTACTTTAGATACACAAAATAGTAGAATATTACAGAGATTCCCTATATGCTTCGCAATTCTCTATTTTAATTTTAGTATATTTTATTATTGCTGTACATGTGCTACAGCTATTGCTATAACAAATATTAATGCATAATTATTTACTGAAGTCTGAATATTATTCAGCTTTAGTTTTAAAATTTCAGTTTCTGATCCAGGAAAATATCCAGGATGCCATGTAATACTTAGTCATTAGGTCAAACAATATATGAAGTGGTCCTCAGTTGGGGTGTGCTGATATTTTTGTCATGATTAAGGTAGATTATTGATATTGCAGAGAAGTACCACAAAAATACAATGACCTTCTCATCATCCCAGGAAGGGTACATGCTATCAACAGTGCTTATTACTGTTGGTGTTAATGTTGATCATCTGGCATGAAGTAGTGTTTGCTGAGTTTTCCACAGTAAAGCTATTCCTTTTGTACCCTCTGTATTCCACTCTGAAGGAAATCATAATGTTTAGCACACCTTTAAAAGAGAGGGGATATATCTACCACATTCTTAATGGTGAAATATTCATATGAATTACTTGGAATTTGAAAGGGAGGTTTATCTATTCTACCTGACTTTTTAATTTATGCAATTATTTATTTATATCCCTTGATTATTTATCATTATATACTCTGGTTTAACTTAATTCTATGTCAGTTATTTTGTTACTCCAAGTTCTGAAGCTTTGATCACCAGCTGTTCCTTTAGTTGGTCTTGTTTTGTTGAAATTCATCACTGTGAGCTTTTTTTCTTTCCTTTTTTGGATGGGGAAGAGGTGGTGTTTTTGTTAGTTTGCTTGTCTTTTATACTTCTGTATTTTCTGTTACTACAAATGCTTCAGAAAAGAAGTAATTACATTTTTTTAAAGTATCAATAGTTTAGCAATGTAGTAATTTGGAGCAACTTGTTATTATTATCACTATTTTGTGTCTTTAGGTGCTAGAAATTGAACCCAGGATTTTTTCACTGAGCTATGCCCTCAGCCATTTAAAAAATTTATTTATTTTTAAATTTTGAGACAGGGTCTTGCTAAATTGCCCAGGCTGGACTTGAACTTACATTCCTCTTGCCTTAGCCTCCCAGAATGCTGTGATTACTACATGCTCCACCACCTCAGGTTTGGAGTAACTTGTCCTAAAAGTCAGAGCCAGGTGATAGTTTCAGTTGGCAAGTGAGCTTTGCTCAATGTAATGCACATAGACAGTCATCCTAACTCAGGCCACATATTTTGAGAAAAGTGCTAGTCAAAACAACTGCCTTGAAGAATATGGATGAAGATTAGAAATATAAATAATTAGGTGTCTCATTTAACTCACTGTATTATGAAGAAATGCAGTTAATAGACAGGACCTTTAAAAGTCATGTTTTACTTATGGAGAGATAATTAAGATATTAGAGATAATTAAGATATTAGAGATAATTTCCTAAGAAAATATACCATATAGGCATATGACTGATGGATAAGAGCTTTTAGCAGTTTTGCTTCAGTTCTTGATTCATGTGATTCTTTGTACCACACTAAATCTCAATATAAGTAAATTTTATGGGAGGATGAAGACTTTTAGAGATCAAGAAGTTTTTGTTTTATTAGAGCTTTCCCTGTCATATACTTGTTAAATTTTATAGTTTCAATCAGATAAATTTATGTGGGTGTTAAAATTCCATAGAGAAATGTAAAAAATGGATGCACTTCTTCAGTCAATCAAAATAATATTAAATTACTCTACTGATATTATAAATCTAAGCAGTTCCAAATGATACACCTGAGTATATAAGCTGTTTACAAAAATATTTCCAATTATTTTCTAAAATAAAAAGTGAGATATAGTAAAGTGAAAATATTTGTGTAGTTCAAATCAAAGAACATGAATATTTTATTTTTTTTATTTGAAAGCTCTTACTTCCTCTACAATCTGGCTTATTTTCAGTTTCCTACACAGTATTATTCTCTTGTTTTACAGGTCAAATCATTCCTCTGTTATCTTTCAACTCCGTTTCATCTTTGATTTTTCTGTGGTTTTTCTATAGAAGTATATTGAATAATAAAAAGCATATTTTTTATATACAGGAGACTTGTTTCCAAACCATTTGTTTGAAAAAGCATTCTGAGTGTTTTTATAATAAAGTTAATCTTCGTGAACACATTTGTCCACACTGAAATCCTTTTCCTCCTTCTTTTCATTCATCATATTTTTTCCCTCCATCTCTCCTTCCTTCCTTCTCTTTTTTTCTTTCTTCCTTCTTAAATAAGCATGGATATCTATGCACTTACTGTGTGCTAATCATGATTACAGCTGTACCCCGGATGCCTGAGCACTTCAACAGTAGCTAAAATTCATCATAGATTGCCATAGATAGAGCCAACCATGAAGTCAACTATGCATTATCTGGGCTTCCATAATGCTCCCCCAAGTGCCCGATGTAGCAACTTCCTCTCATCTTTGCTGCTTTGTTGAGTTTCTTGATTATTGTTACTGATTTTTAAATAGTTTAATTGTCTTCCTTGAATCTACCCATTGGAGACATGTCTCTGCTCTGCAAGACTCACAAGATATCATTGAAGATAAAACTTCTCCTTTTCTAAGATGTATCTGAAATACTGTGCCCTCTGTCTCAACTGAAATTTTTAATTAAATTTGTTTTCTTATTGATACCTAAAATCAAAGAAATTATATATTTTATGGTGTGCCCTGTGATGTTCAAATACATGCTTATATTATGTAATGTTGAAAACAAGGTAAACACACCTGTCTACTCAAATTTTTGTCATTTCTTTAGCATGGAAACATTTAAAATCCTGCCTTCTAGCTTTTTGAGTTGTAGAACACATTTTTGTCATCTGTAATCCCCTTTCTGTGCAAAGGCATACCAAAACTCTGTACTCCTGTCTGACTGTAACTCAGTATTAAGATAAACTTCTTGAAATCCTTCCTTCCTTTCTACTTTCCCTAGCTCTGACAGCCACCATTTTACTTCTACAGGATCAACTGTTTTAGATTCCATGTATAAGTGTGATTATGTAGTACTTGATCTTTCTGTGCCTGACTTACTTATGTAAATAGTAATCTCTGGTTTCATCCACATTGTCAGAAATGGCAGGACTTTATCTTTTTTTATGATAGAGTAGTTCTCTATTGTGTGTATTTACCACTTTCTTACCCATCAGCTAGAATTTTTTGCCTATCCTAGGATGACATTAGATCATTTTATGAAGCGAGATCATGTGTCTTCTTCAGTCTTGGCATCATGGAATTTAAAAAAATTTTTATTCTTATTAGTACATCCTTGTAGTACGTAATGATTCTGTTCATAGTGTGGAGTTGGTACATGTATATAACATGTCTTAATTCTTTTTTTCATCCCCTTCCTATCTTCTCTGTCCTCTACCTCCAGCACTAAGACTCTATTAATGCCTCTATTTCATGTTACTCCCTTCCCATCACTTAGCAGAGATGATTTTAGTTTCTGAGCCTTTCAAGGAGCACAAATTCATCTCAACCATTTTTCATTGGGGTTCTTTGGTGAAGGATTTTCTCAGAAATGGCACTGCTGTAAAACTTAGATTTTCATTGTCTATTCTATGTCACATGTCTGATTTGCAAAATTAAAATTTTTCCTCATATACTTATATTAGTCCAGGGATATAATCTGGGCCAGAATCTACAGAATGAAATAAATATGTACATCTTTTGATTTACAATTGGTATAACTGTAGAAATCAAACAAGTAAGCCCCTCCAGTTTAAGATTTTCCTTGGAAACAAGAGGCTTTGGAATGAGGGATTTTCCATTCTTCCTCTGACACAATTTAAATTTATAATTTTAGGTTAGTTTCCTTTGGATAAGCTTTTCAGTCTTTTGTCCATTGTTCTCATTCTAAAGTGAATGACATTAACAAAAACTGTTGTCTGTCTACTAGACCTTATTTCAGCTTCCTACTAAATTGTTCCACACAGTGATGCACAGACATGTTGCAGCTACCAGGAAGTGATGTGTCTTCCTTCTTTATAGCTAAAAGAAAGAAGACTAATATTCCATATTTGGGAAGGTCTAATTTCATATAAAGAATAAAGAAATGTGAAGTTTTAAAGATGAAACATTTTATATATTTAGTTAATATTTATTGAACATTTAATATGTTTCTCTACTACACTAGGTGCTAGGAAAACAGCATTTCAACACAAACACAGCCACAATCCTCGACTGCAACCATATATGTGAATTATTAGAATTCAAGTATTTTTTATTCTGAATTAAAACTGCAGTGTTATGTTGCATATGTTTTTAAATTTAAGTACTTGCTTTTTTGCCAAATATGGTTAATATCTCTCTTAATACTTGTTTACTCTCATCATCATTAGGAGATAGTCAACTTCAACTGTCGAAAACTGGTGGCTACAATGCCTCTTTTTGCTAACGCGGATCCTAATTTTGTGACGGCCATGCTGAGCAAGTTGAGATTTGAGGTATTTCAACCTGGAGACTATATCATTCGAGAAGGAGCTGTGGGGAAAAAAATGTATTTCATTCAACATGGTGTTGCTGGTGTCATCACCAAGTCCAGTAAAGAAATGAAGCTGACAGATGGCTCTTACTTTGGAGGTTAGTAAAATATAAAATGCAGCTAATGTGAAATCTAAATTGCCTGTTACATGTGTTTTCTTCACAATTTTAGAGATATCATAATGTTGATTTGTTGACTTTCAGCATGATCTTGCATTTGAATTCTGAAAAAATGTCTATAATGTTTTCATATTTCATGATCCCAAGTTTCAGTACATATGTATTTGCTACTGCATTGGTTGTGCTATTGTTTCAACTTCTTTAACTAGAAACAAATAATCATGGCTTAAACTAATGGTAAGTATATTTTTCTCTTATATAAAACCCCTATAAGTTTGGGTAGCCCTCTCCACAATAGTTTTCAGGGATCCAATCCATTTATTTATTATCTGACATCGACTACAAATTCCTTCTTTTCGCTTCTTTTTCATGTTTACATGAGAGGAACTGACTCTTTTCTACCACATTTTGGTGTAGCTTACAGAGTGGTGCAGAGAGAACAGAAGGAAAGAAAAGCTAGCCATCTTTTGTTGCATACACAAAAGTTGCCAATGTCACTGCTCTGCACATAATAATTGGTCAGAATTTAGTTAGAGAATTACTACCAGTTCTCAGTAAAAACAGTCACTTAGCTTGTAGAAAGAAGTTTTTATTTTGATTTACAGTTTCAGAAGTTTCAGTCCTTGATCAGTTGGTTCTAATTCTCTGGGTCTGAGGTAAGGAAAAACATCATGGTAGAAGGCCGTGGTGGAGCACAGCTGTTCACCTCATTATAGCTGAAAAGGAGAAGAGGAAAGAGCTTGCAGGGAGCAGCCAGAGACCAGATATAAAGGTCACACCCCCATGACCCATTTCCTTCAACTGGTCCCACCTCATAAGTTTCCTTCACCTTCCCCATCAAATTATGATCTCATCAATGGATTAATCCGCTGATGAAGTTAGAGCTCTTATGATCCAGTTGCCTCTGGAAATACTCACACACACACCCAAAACTGTATTTTAATTTTCAAGGTGTTGATCAGTTCAGCTAAGCTGACATTCAAGATTAGTCATCACAGATGAGAAATGGGGCTTCTAGATAGATGGCAACTTACATTGTAAAAGGTCTGAAAACTTGGAATTTTTCCCAATATTAAGATCAATATTATGTTGTTACACATGTATAAAAATTGCCTTGGAATTGAATTAGTGGCTCAAAACATGGATATTTTTATTATTTTATTTTATTTTTGGTACCAGGAATGGATCTCAGGGCCTTGGGCTTGTCAGGCAGGTGCTGAAAACATGTATATTTTTAAATTAAGATGAAAAACACCAAATTGCTTTTTTGATAAGATTGCCTATTTACTTTGAAAATATTTTTCTTTTGTCCTCTTTATAAATAAGAATGCTTGTTTCCTATTGTTTAGTTTGCATATCTATTATTTCTACTGATTAATATATTTTTATAGATTTATCAATTACATTCTGATGTTTGTTCCTATCCTATTCATAAAAACATGTATATGGTTTTTATGTATAACCCAGGTTATACAAGTATTTCTCATACAATTTTTTTATATGCTATATCTTCTCCAAAACTGGTGTGTTTCTTAACTTTGTTTATGGCATATTTTATTGTTCTTTTCCTTCTTACTGTCAATTTAAATGTATCTATCTTTTCCTTAATGTATTAGAAATTTTGTGTTCCTCAGGTGAGTTTTGCAGTATTATGAAAATGTTTTCCATATTTTCTTCTATCTAGTTTGATCATATAATTTTACTTACTGCACTGTTATTATAACTTACTATATATTATTATTATAGTATATACTCCATTATATTTTTCTTCTAATACTAATATATTCAAATTCTATTCTTAAGTATCATGTTGAGTAAGATTCTATAATGTATCCCCCAAAGAGATGATTTTTCATAACCATCAATAGAGGATTTGGGACTTTCTCTTAGGTTCTTAATGTTTTTCCAGTGAAATGTCAAGTTTAAGAAATTTTCTCTAGTGACAGTTCAGATTTTGAATTCTAGTAAATACTTTTTTGAATTTATCTAAATTACCATTTGGTTATTAACCATTAATCTGTTGTACCTCAGTAAAGCACATTAACTAAAAGTAATTTACTTGACTTTTTGTTCACCCATTAAAGACAATTTTGAAATTTCTAACTTTCTTTTTCTTTCCACTCTTCCTTCTTATCAGAGTAAGTCTGTGTTGCCTCATCAGTATTTTTGTTCAGATTTTGCTAAGAACAAAAAGGATTATGAAAAGCTAAGAATCTAACAGGGTCTACTTCAGAGAGAGCACAGAACTTGTTTGAGTGAAGAAAAAATAGAAAGGAAGTGATTAAAATCTGATGGGGTAAGAAATAACAGTACACATGTGCAGAACAGGTTTGGGAATAAGTTGTTGGGAAAAGCATCTCTGAGGCAATTTGTGGGTATGTGATACATATGTTGAAAAAAAGCTTAGGAAAGAATTTTTAGTGTTATTACGCATTAAGAATGGATTTATGAGGTTGACATATGCTTCATGAATTCAAAGGAACTCTTAATTACTTTACAGTTATACTAGGCAACATGACTAAGGTTTTGTGCGAAGACTGGAATATATGATTCTCTGGGTAAATGTGGGTTAAGCTTTAGTAAAGTTAATAGATCAGTAACTGAAGTGTGGAGCCTAAAGAGAACTTCTGAGAAAAACTACTTTTCCTAAGGGCTGGGGATTTAGCTCAGTGGTTCTCCCACCTGCCTCGAAAGCGCAAGGTCCCAAGTTCAATCCCCAGTACCAAAATAATAAAACAAAACTATTTTTCCTGTTGTATTATTTCTTTAACAGTTTCACATATGTCTGTAAATTAAAGTTGTCCGTTATTTTGTCGTTAATGTGGCTACTTTTGTTATCCCTTGAATCACCTTGGATATTAGGTTTTCCTAATCTAGAGAAATAAAACTTCAAAATAAAGAATTTTACTGAAGTTTAAGCAATGTAGACATTACCGATTATTTGAAGTCTTAGTGGAATTCACAAATAAATACTTATGTCTGATTCTTTGTCCTCTTTGATTACTAAACTACTTAAGTTTTTTACTTATGAGTAATCATTCAGTTTATATAATTATTCATAACATTGAGTAGACAATATACTCTCTCATAGGAAACTGATATCTGCCAAAATCATACTTTAGACTTTCTAATGTAATTGAATGGAAAGAAGATCTAAATATTATGAAAAAGATAATTCCACATTATACACAGGTAGATAGATATATTGATATGCATTTCCCCTTTTACTCTTAAATAACTTTTACTTTTTTAATTGTAGAACAGTTTTATATTTTTGAAATTATAGAAAAGATTATACTGAGAGTTTCTATATAAACATGGCATATATGTCAAAATTAATGAATCAATATTGATACATTATTCAATATATATTTTATTCAGATTTTTTCTTTTATAATCAATAGTTTTTTTCATTTAGGATATCATTTATAATACCATATTACCATGTAATGATATTTTAGGGTACTTTGTTAAAGTTTCTTGACATCCCTTATTTTTTGATAAACTTTAGAGTTTTGATGAGTACTCCTAAGATAATCCTATAAAAAGTTTTGTTACTTAGGACTTGTCTGATTAATATTTCCTGATCATGTTTTTGAGAGGAAAACCACTCACATGAAGTATAATTCTCATCATATAATATCAAAGCATAGTATCAATATATCTTATCACTATGGGCATTAATCTCCATCACTCAGCTTTGCATAGGATTATTCAGGCTTCTCTGCTGTAAAATCACTTTTTCTTCCTCTCTTATTCCATGGTAGACTCTGGAAAATAATAACTACAAATAATCCATGATTAAAGAGTGAGGAATATTGTTTCACCTCCTTAAGGACAGAGTATTATATAAATTATTTGAAATTATTTTGAACAGAAACTTCATTGTGTTCATTATATATTTATTTAATTCATCTTGGATATTTCTTACCTAGTTCCGAATAATTGATTTTTCCAAAAATCATTTGATTCTGTGATTGGATAACTGTTTGAAGTCAAGATCTGGACACTAAATATTCTTATTACTACTGGGATGTGTTTACCTGCAGACCCTCTTGCTGACAAAACAAAATTATAGTCACACAACATACTATCCTGTGTATGTACACACACATATTTCTTTTGATATGTAGCCATATGTATATGAAATATGAGTTCATACTGTTTTCTCTTAATATATGGAATATTAACACATGGAATATGCTAACTTCCACCTATTCCTTATTTGTTACTGCTCGCTTGACAATAAGATACTAAGTCCTCACTATCTTTCAGCTGTGGTCAGCTCTAGTATACATGTACACTTTTTTCTGCTTGTTAACCTGGGAAAGCACAAGTCTTATGAGTTAGTTTGCCTTGATTCTATGGAATCCACTGCCTTCCAAAGGTAGTAAAGTCATTATCTTATTATCCCAATCCCTTCAGTGAGAATGCTTCATACAGTTTTAACGCATTTATATTCTTTTGTGGATTTCATCCTGCGATCATCTGACTTCCTAAATTTCTTTTCAAGTTTACAAACCATAAAGCTCACTCTTTGTACCATAATATTATACAGATTTCAACGTATGTACAACATCGTGCAGAACAGTTTCATCTCTGTATGTTACTTATTAAGGCATCTCCCCTTCCCAAGTCCATAGCAACTACTAATCTGTTTTAAGTCTACCATTTTCATAAATCTCATGCAATTGGATCATACAATATCTAGTATTATGTAAGAGATTTATTTAGTTTCACATTTCAACCATTAACTCCTGGATTATAGGAAATTGCATTTGTGTATTAGCCTTTTATCCAAAGACCTTGCTATATAGTCCCTTATTAGTTATAGGAGGTTTATTAATTCTTTTGTGAATCAATTGTTGTTAATTCCTTTGTTAATTTTAGTATGATGCTAGGTGAGTGGGGTTTCTTTATGTTCTTAATCATACTGATGAATTCGCTCCTACTTCTTTTCTGAGAATTTTTGACTAATC